AACCTCTATCCAAAAATAAAAATCAGATCTGAGAAAAAAAAAATCTGATTTGAGCACTGGGAACATAATTTTCACAATCTCATGCAGGCGTTTGCAGAAGAGCTGCTGATGGCAGTAGGTGGCAGAGGCTGAGGGTACAGGGTGGCACTCAAAACACTCATCATCCACAGACGGCAGTGCTTCTGATAGGCTTACTCTATGGCAGTCTCTCTCTCTCTCTGGCTCATCTCTTTATCCGCTCATGCCGTAGAGCTCATGTTTGACAGTGGTTGGAGGAAAGCACGTCAGCTCTCTGGAGGCAGGGATTTAACAGCAAACACACTCCTATTTTGCCCCTTTTACAAGATGTAAAATATATCTTTGGTGTCTCCAAAATGTTATGGTGAAGCTACAGCTCAAAATACCCATCAGATCATTTGTTTTACAAGGTCAGCAAGTTGAAAGCCCACCAGACATGCTAGAGGTCAGTCTATGCACATTTGCCACTAAACCGAACTACATATCCCGTCATGTTCTGCAGTCACACACCGGTTTCAGGTCACCTCTTGATTATGCACACACACACAGATAAAACTGATTACATGGACTATATACACACCACACACATGTTTGCAGAGTCTTGTTATCCTGTAGTAAGCATTATAAAGCATTTTCCTCTCTAGTCTACCTGTGTTTTGATCCTTCTTTGCTTCATTACATTACAATCATTACAATACCCTGCTGAATATGTAAATATGGGAAAATTGTAGCTGTTTTGCGCCTGCCCCTTTACAGGGTTTCTGCAGGATTCATCAAATCACATTTAAGATCAATATGAATGAAATGTAAGACTTAAACAGGGCAAAACTTTAAGGTTTTTTTTTTAACTGGCAGTGGCAAACATTTTTACTTGCTCCATTCGAATACAAATGTAGTTATTTCTTAGCCACATATTTTAAATAATGCAAAAAAAAACAAAAAAAAAACAAAAAAACAAGCAAACCCTGTTTATAAACATATACTTTTTTAACATTACTTTTCTTTAATTATTAAAAACAACATTATTAAGTACTGTATGCACAACAGTCTGCTCAGGTCAGTGTCCTCACCAAGAGAATTTTTAAACAAATGTTATTGTAAGGATATATGGATGATAATCAAATCATATTGGTAAATAAAGTAAATAAACAAAACTCTATTTAAATGTTTTTAGATGGATTGTTGGCGGTTCAGTTCCCTGTGGCGACCTCTGAAATAGAGACTAAGCCTAAGGAAAAATAAATGAATAAATGTTGGTCGTACTGATTGGGTAGCTTTACATGGACAAAGGAAAATCTAAGACCTGTTTAAAAGGATTTAAGACCTGAAATACAATATTTCAGTGAATTTAAGTCTTTTAAGTCTGAAGATTTTGTTTTTGAAATCTTGAAATATTTTAGAAATTTTGTTTTGTACATTTGAAGACTTTTTAAGGTCATGTAGACACCCTTTTTTAAATGCAAACGAGCTGGTTCTTGTTATATATATTAATCAGTATAAGTGTAATTCACATCTTTGGATGATCTTTTAAAGACCTTTTTAAGAGCATTATGAATGAAATTTCAGACTTACACAAGGTTAAATGCTAAATACGTTTTAACGGCAAAGTTAAAACTTAAAAAAATAACAAATTTTATTGTAAGGAAGATATTTAAACCATATTAATAAATAAATAGAGTTAGTTAATAAACGTTTCTTAACTTTGATTGAAATATATTGCTAGTGATTGGAAGGGTGTTGACCTAATTGGGTATAGCTTTACATGGACAAAGGAAAATTAAGACCTGTTTAAAACAATTTAACATCCTATTCAACACAATATTTTAGTGGATTTAAAACTTTAAGGTTTTTGAAATTTAAGACATTTTAAGACTTTATAAGACCCTGCAGATACCCTTTATTCACATGTGTTATTAGTGTGTTTAAGCTCTCTCAGCCAACGAAATTGTTCACAGTGATGCCTTAAGGGAGTCGCACACCAGATGCGCTGCTCAGTGCTGTGACACAGTTGGAAGTATCGCATACCAGACGTGCACATTCACATGTTATTTAAAATGAAACTATTCAGATGGCACTCTGTGGCGTGGCAGAACATATGAACAGTGTACTGAGTTGTAGCTGGGTGCCGCGGACAGCCGCCGACTTGCACCAGTGTGCATACATGATAGAAATCTATGATTACAAATCTAAAATGCACAGCGCCGTTTGGTGCGACGCAACGTCGAGCAGTGCATCCAGTGAGCAACCCCCTTTGGAAGGAACATTTTACAACCCAGGCTCATTCTGAAAACGTAGTCCCATGGACGTTTCTGGAGACGTCCTGGGAGGTACCTATGGCCGCATTTAATTTTTTTAAGCGAACGTTACGGGGTGGTGGGACGCTGTTCCCTTTCGCGCTTACCGGCTGACCGCTTACCTCTGTGTGGAGGGCTTTCCCGCCGCAATCAGTTTGTCCAGTCAGCTCATCGTGTGCGCCAGCAGACTTCAGATGCGGAGAGGAGGAGTTGACCACGGCGACCGAGTTCGAGTCCGGGGAAGAGCGGTTCCAGAAATCAGGTGAGACAAAAACAGAATCCAAAAAAAATAAAGCGAACGAGTTCTTAACAGGGTGAGAACGTGGTGAAATCCGAAAACGTGGTGAAAAAAATCAGACGAGGGCTTTTCTTTTTCTAGAAGACTTATTTAAATTGTTGCTCGGGTTTAGGGAAGTGAGCGGGCGAGCGGGTCAATCGGTAAAACTGGTTGGGTTTAGGGAAGGAGGAAGGTGGGTCAACTGTCCGGTCGCGCAGTCAATCATTCGGTCAGTCAGACAGTGGCCTCTGGTGGGTTCACGCGAGAACAGCGCGGGCACGAATGGCACTTGTGAGAGACATTTGAGATCCGAAAAATCGCACACATCGGCCTCTCGCGGATTCGCATAAACAAAAACTGCACAAATACGTACCTCCTGCGACGTATTTCGCGGTCTCCAGAAACGTCCACTGGACTACGTTTTCAGAATGAGCCTGGGTTGACATTTTGGGTTAAACCTTCAACTTTCTTCGCTGAACTTTCGAGAGCTTAACAAAACATCAAACTCACCGCAAATTAAGAAGAGCATCGGCTGCATTTCATGGTGTCACGTCCATCTATCGCAATCTGAAAAACAAAAGAGCAACATTAAAACAGAAAAGCGCACTGGTAAAAATAAAACAGAGCCCTAAAAGATAAACAGTGTAAACATTGATGTATTTAAAGCCATAGCACATGTAATCAAACATATCATTTCATCTCCTTGGTGACAACAATGATTAGTTAAAGCAACATTACAGCTATTTATCAGTCTTTTTACAATTTTACTTCTAGTTTAAGCTCCTCAGCAAAAGCGTCGAGCCAAGAAAAGCTTTAAATGAACAGGTTTGTGGTTGTTTTTATTCAGTTTAAGAACTAGTTTAGATGAGATTAGACTGTGACGGGTAGTTTACCTTGTGGAACGAAGGCCTGTAAATACAGCTACCGCCATCCTCATCAGCTCTGAGGTCAGCTGGGGTCATTTAGAGGCTGTTTAGTGGACTATAGAGACGGTCGTATGACCAGAAGGGGGAGAAGAAAGAGCAAAAAACAGCAAGCAGAAATCCCCAAAAAAGAAGCACGTTCAGAAAGCCACTGCTTACATTTATACTGTATGAAAGACAATATCTGGATTTATACTCTGTCCATGTGCAACAAATTAGTCCCGTGTCTATGACTGCCATTAATAAATGAGCACGATTAAAGATATATTAGTGGATAATTAACTTCTCGGAGGAAGTCGCTTTCATGCGCCGCACCGCAGTGTGTTGTTTTCAAGTAGAAAGAATTATGGGAGATAATAAGGTACGTTTATGATTGCAAATTTATTTCATGCTGCTGGCTGCGGTGTGTTACAAATGAATTTAACAGGTTGCAATTAAATTTAATTCCACAATGGTAATTACTGTCAAAACAATCCAAATCGAATAACGCTAGAAAGTCAGTGAGGGAACTGTACTCACTTTTCTTTTAATATTTGGTTTATTTTCACTTTTTATGTGGGCTTAAATGAGTGACTCTTTTATGGGCTTTAATGATGAGACACTTTAGGTGTTAGTTTAAATTAGAAAGCTTTTCGACCAAAGTAAACAAGAAGAAAACGATGCTTCGCTTTTCTTTCAAAAAAGTTTATTTTAGAATCAACTGAGACGAGAATTAAAGGGCTTACACAAGCTTACAAAGATTATAGCTCTTAACAGAAAAGGGATTCAAAATGCCACCATCACCAGGACCACAAGAATTGTCATTACTATCACCTTTTAAACTTCAGCATACATTTGATTAGACTTTTAATAGATTTAGAAAACAGTACCAGTTAACTGAATCAACAGTGTTGGGTTTAGTAATGGCCGCTAACACTTTGCTGCGCACTTGAAATGCATTAAAACAAGTTTTAAAGGATACATGATGTGCTGCTAAGTTTGTTTTTAAAGAAACACTCCACTTTATAAAATAATAGGCTCATTTTAGAAGTCACCTATTGCAGCCTATTGTCACCTACTAGAAGTCACCTATTGATTCCCAACCCAAGGGCCCCGGGTATCAATTGGTACCGGGTTGCCAAAGACATCTTTATTTATGTTTTAGTGATTATTTGAGTCTGATTGAGCTTTTATTTTGAAAAATCTTTTGCTTTGAAAAGTGACCGCATTCGCTCGATTACATCTCGGTCACTTGAGTGCCAAAATTTAACCCACAAGCCAGCAAAATGAGTAACAAACAGATATCTCTGCAAAGTTTCTTTGCGAAGAGGAAAAGACCCAGCACTGTAAAAAAATGCTGGTTTCCACACAATTCATTCATGTTGTCCCAACTTAAATCGATTAAGTTAACTTAACACTTTTAACAAATTTATGTGGATTGAACTCAAAAATAAGTTGTCCCAATGAAATCTCAAGAATTGTCTTCAGCTCATTAAAATTAAGTAATTTAAACAAGTAAAAAAAAAAAAAACTTTTTTTTTTTGAGTGAAGGATCCATAAACTGCCAATGAATGGATCCGCAACCCATTTGTAAACAAATCAGGTGATTCCAACTGAATCCAACTGCTGTAGATCGCAAATGTTGGTGGAGGACTATTAACATATCACATTTTCTTGGCACGCAAGTTCAATATTTCTAATGGAGGCATGCATACTAGAAGCAAAATGCTCACTCCCCAGTTGAAAACATCTGGTCCATGGTAAAATTGTCAATCGATGACAGTGTTAAAAACGTTGGGGACAACTGTCTTATAGAGTTAAACAGTTGAGTTTTGCTATACATTCAGTCGATCTCCGGGTCTAGCAGGAGCACTTCTAGCTTAGCTTAGCATAATTCATTGAATCGGATTAGACCATTAGCATTTCATCAAAAATGACTGAAAAGTTTGAATAATTTTCCTATTTACAGCTTGAATTTTCTAGGCAGATATGGTTAGGCATTATACTCTCATTCTGGTCTAATAATAAAGGAATTTTGCTGCAGTACCAAGGTGCAATCATATTGCGCAAGTCTTGAAAATCCTCCATCAACAGCCATATTGCCCAAGAAAACAGCAACTTTTCATTTTCTGTCTGTCTATTTTCAAATAAAGTGGAGTGTTCCTTTAAATTCCTATCACAAGCACTGCTTTGGTTCAGTCTTTTGTTTTTTAATGCTTTATTGCTATTTTAACCCACACTGTAAAAAAAATCTTAATTACTTAACTTGAGTAAAGCAAGTAAACCCACTGCATAAAAAGTTGACTTTACTTAAAAAAGTGAGTAAACCTGTTATAGCTTTTAAATATTGAGTTTTCGAGAATAGCACATGCTTATGATTGATCACGGCTGGTCCCGCATCAGCTAACACATGATTCATTAATCACATGATTCCTAACTTACTAGAAATAACCAGAGTTTCTTACTTCAGTTATCTTTGCCCTGAAGATTTACTCGCCCTTCCCCTTTACAAGGTGGCACGGCGGTCCAGTTGTTAGCACTGTGGCCTCACAGCAAGAATGTCACTGGTTCAGATCCTTTACAATCCGGTTGGTGTTTCAGTGCAGAGTTTGCATGTTCTCCCCATGCTCGCGTGGGTTTCCCCCGGGTCCTCTGGTTTCCTCCCACAGTCCAAAGACAAGGCACTACAGTCAAGCTCTTAACCAGAAGGTGTATCTCTTTATAGCAATATCTAATTTACTATTAGCCCTAAATAAGTTGGGAGTTCTCGAGATCTACCTGAGCTCAAACTCCCCTCTCGCCCTGCAAAAGGGAGGGAACCCTGGGCTCGAGGATCTTATGAGCCCAGGGCTCTCTCCTGGGACAGCATGCCAAACTCGCTTTATAATCAATCATCAGCTAGGTGTGAACTCTTGAATAACATTTAAGGTAATCATTGTACTCAGTTTTTAGGATAAAGTCAATTGGTCACTTTAAAAGGAATGGGTTTACTAACTGGAGTAAACGGAGAAAACCCGTTGCC